CTCTCTCTCTCTCTCTCTCTCTCTCTCTCTCTCTCTCCCCCCCCATCTATCTACATATGTAACATTAAAGTAAAGGCTCAACAGCATAGTACAAGCAAAACATACAGCGGGGAAGCATTTGGACAGATATGGATTCTAATTCCAGCTCTACATATGGTTTTTTAAACTTGAGCTTATTCCTTAACTTCTCAGAGACTCAGATTCTTACAGTTTAAAATTAAATTATACCTTTACAGAAAGTTTGTTATGTAATGAAATACAATATTGCACAAAACTTAGCACATGCATCACAGATTACCTATAAATTTTGAAAGAACTCACTATATACAAGTAAATCATTCTTATGTTATAAATGTTAAAATATCTTACACAGAATGCATGACTAACACTTTATATTTTTTTCAATTGAAAAATTACTAGCTTAAATAAAAATCTACACAGTACAATTCCTAGAGATTGTTTTGTAGTTTTCAAGGATCTATGTGAGATTTTGTTGTTGTTGTTGTTGTTGCTGTTGTTGTTGTTGTTATTAATGTCATTTCTTTTGGAAAATTAGTAAGAAAAAGAGTATAAAAGTCTTATCAATAGATATAAACTTAAAATTTTGCCAAGATTAGGACTTTATAAGCTATCTTTGTCTCTAAAATGTTAACAGATACTGGGTAAAAAAAAGAAATGCACCAATATCATGGCATACTGTATTTTAATCTAAGATTTTAAAGACTCTGATTGGTATGTCATTGATGGTAATTCTAAAATATGTCATAATAGACATGATAAATTTAGTAAAATACAGCAAATCTTCAATAATCACAATGTATACTTGCATACCAAAAGATCAAGGAAATTCTATTGAAAATGCTAATTTAGGATTAAAAATTAGGAATTTAAGATTTTTGATCAAAACTAGATTATTATTCTACTGTCAAGAAACCACCATACTACTCAGGGAATTAATTTTAAAAAGTTCACACAAAGCTGTTTTTTTTAACTTATGAAGCTATTTCTAAAATGTTATCTTGTTTATAGCAGATACTGTTTACTTCAAATTTATCCATAGAAACACAAAGTTTTTTTGTAATAATAAAAAAGAAAGACAAATTACTTTTCCCACAGTACAATGTACCACCACCATCACCACCACCACCTACATTTCCTTTTACTGTTTTAGGCCTACAGAAAACATTAGAATAACTACACAAGATAACTGGGGTATAGTTCAGTGGTGGAGTAGATGTGTGAAGTGAAGCTGTTGGCTTAGTTAATCAAAAGCAGAAGGGCCTGGGAGATGGCTCAGTAGAATAAACACTTGCCTGGCAAACGCAAGGGCTTGAGTTCAATCCCGGTTGGAGGGGGTGCGGGGGGGAGGGAAGCAGGAAAGGAGAAAGAGGGAGGAGGGGAGAGTGCTATGCAATGAAAGAAAAACAGACTGAACAACAAAAAGAGAGGGAGAATTTTTATGTAGTAAGCAGACAACAGCACAGCATGTTCCTTAAAATCATGTTGTGTTCAACGCAGACTGCCTTACATAGATGGTAACCAGTTGTCAGGAGCTGCCCCTGCAGACTGCTTAGCATTCCTGTGGTCAATAGATCCCTGCCACTGTCTGCTGCCCCCAGCCCAAGTTCACCTGTTCTTTGCTGGTCCTGCTTGCCCTTTGGTTTTCCCTTAACTCTCTCTAATGGAAAATTTATCGAGATTGACATTTACCTTTGATTTCTACTTAAAGCTTATAACTGTTGAAGACAGGAAGGTTAACAAGTTGTGGACTTATTATCTTCTAAAACTGGATTCCTTAAATTTTTTCTGAGTAGTAAGAAAACCTGTTATTCTTTTCTCTAATTGCAGCTAACAGGCCCTATTCAAGTCATCCACCAGGCAAAAGCTTGCTGTGATGTCAAAGGAGGAAAGAATGAACTGAGCTTCAAGCAAGGAGAAGAAATTGAAATAATTCGTATCACTGACAACCCAGAAGGAAAGTGGTTGGGCAGAACTGCAAGAGGGTCTTGTGAGTGCGCATTTCCCTATGATTTCAAAATGGATTTTTTTCTTGGTGGGAAGCCAGTATTAAATGTTTAGACCCTTCTAGAACTATCAGCATCAAGTCAGGATATGTTACTGAGTAGGAAAATCTAAAATTGCAAGTCAAGTTCTATCTTCACCTCACCTGTAATCATTTTTGTAGGGGACAATGTAGATTATTATATTGTCCAAGTTCAATATTATTCCAAAGATTACCAAAGGTCATTAGAGTTTTCATTTAGGTTAAAAGGGAAAAATATTTCATGTAAATCACTTCATAATCTTTAAGTGGATTATAGGCTGATTCCAAAGTACAATGGGATAAAACAGAAAACAGTAAAATGTGTCCATGCAGCAGATCCGTGAATCAGATAAAGGGAAATTTTAAGGCTCAAGTGGGCAATTGCTGTTTTATTTTCAACTCTAAAATATTTAAGTTACAGTTGCCTGAACTTAAGTCTCCCCCTCCTTTTTTTTGGTAGATGGCTATATTAAAACAACTGCAGTAGAGATTGATTATGATTCTTTGAAAAGAAAAAAATCTTCTTTCACTACTCTTCCCTCAAGACCCGTTGAAGATGACCAAGAAGTATATGATGATGTTGCTGAGCAGGATGCTAATAACAGGTGCGTACAAATACAGATTGTGAGACACATCGGAATGTTTCCCTGTCAGAAGGTTTGTGTTGTGAGAGCTTGGAACTCTATTACCTTCAATACCTCCTAATGGTTGCTATCATTAAACTGAATCATCACTCACCATCACCTCGATATGGGTGAAAGGTTATTTAAAATAACCTAAAATATAACACATAAAATATCAATTTTAGCCTTTGTTACTCTGAAATATAACACTAAATGTACTGTATGTTGTTCTTATTCAAAAATATAACAAAAACAAGGAATGAGTTTTATTGCAACTCCTATTTTAACCTTTAAAAGTAAAAATTGAATTCCTTATGATTCCTGAGAATCAACCAAGGGCCCAACTTGCAATTTCCTACTTATTCCACTAGATTGGGTTATCTTTTTTCAAAAGTAATGAGAAGGGTCAGGCTAAAGCACCTGCTTAGGCAGAGCACAGCGTCCCTGGCATGCCATGCTGGCCCCAACCCCAGGGCGCACTGAGAAGGCGATTGAGACTGGGTGTGGTGGTGCATGCCTGTAATCCCAGCACTTGAGAGGCTGAAAACAGCAGGGTCACTACAAGTCTGATCTACATAGTGAGACCCTGTAGACCCTGCAGACCCTGTTCCAAATATATATTTTTTTAAAAATCCAAGATTGAACATCCTCATTGCTTTAGGTGTTGAGTGAGAGTGCCAGGAGGCAATGGCAGGGAACTGCATCAGAGCAAAAGGCTCACGTCACTACCCATGAAGCAGAGGAGAAAGGAGGAGCCGAGATTCCACAAGTTCCTCTGGCACCATGCTTGCATGCCCTTGGACCTCCCAGCAGGCTTCTCTGCAGGGCTACAGCACCTCCTAATACAGCCATCCTGGGAACCAAACCTGTAGCACCACTGGTCAAGTGCAACCCTCAACAGTCTCTTTTTCCTTTCCACCCTTTTCAGTCTTCAGCCTCCTTCTTCTCCCCACCCCTTCTTTCTCTCTTTGTCCCAACTTTGATACTCCTTTATCTTTCCTCCTCCTTTCTACTTCATCTTTCCTCTTCTATCATTTCTTCTTTTCTCCAACCTCTCTCTTTCTAGTGCATCACATCCTCCCCTCAGGTTGAGAGAAAAAGAGGAAAATTCCTAGATTACTTAAGAATACTCATTTTTCCATGTCCAATTCATGAAATTGGAAAATTTCCTTTGTGATTTTGAAAACCTTTGATAGATCTTTAATTGGGTGAAATTGTTTACCTTCTTTATAATTCAGGTTACACAGAAGAAATTCAAAATTAGAAAATATTTTAACAATGTAAATCCATCAAGCTGGTAATGCACTTCTAAAACATATAAGAATTATATTTCCTTGGGACCAGGGAGATGGCCTGAGTTCAATCCCCTGTTCCACCAAAAAAAAAAAAAAAAAAAAAAAAAGAAAAAAGAAAAGAAAAGAATTATATTTCCTCTTATGACCTTATACTTCACATCACCAATTAACTTGCTGGGTTGCTTTCTTGCAGTTTTGTGTTTCTAGAACAGGTGATATCCTGCTACACTTTCTCTCCACATTACAATCATAAATTATGTAACCTAGACTAAAGATGCAATGCTTACAATAATGTTTAGATTACAAATTGACTTTTGTAATGGCAAGCACACTTCTTTGTTTGAGTTTCAGCAGGTAGAAATTTTAGAGTCAGATGATTTTTCTAGCAATCATATTCTACAATTTACACAGCTTTTTGGACATGAGTATGTCATGTATATTATTGAGTGATCAAGAAACACCATGCATCTTTAAATTTAGAAAGAACTAGCATAGCGAAAGACACACTGCCATTAAACTTCTTTCAGAACACGCCTCAATTTGTGCATACTTTTCCCACCATTCATGCCACTTTCCAAACCAATTCCAGAAGTTGTCTTTTGTGAGCATCTTTTTTTTTTTTTTTTTTTTTTTTCTGGTACTGGGGATGGAACTCAGGACCTTGTGCTCATCAAGCAGGTACTTATGCCAATGAGCTGTATCCCCAGCCATGCAAACATCTGTACTAGTTGTGATAGAATATATGGCGAGCGCTGATGCTAGCTGCCATCCAATGGCAAGATAGGCTCATAGAAAATATTACCATGTATTCTCATCCACAACTTCGGGCCCTCTCCCCAAGGACAAAATGACTATGAATGGAAAATGTTTTGAATTAAATCAGGACATGGAGGCAGCCACAACACAAATAAAGACAGTCATGAGAGATTTTCAGAACTGCTTCAAAAAGTGGTGAGAATGCAAGGATAAATGTGCTTCAAAGTGAAAGGGGAGTGTTTTGTGGCAATATGTCTTATACTGTAATAATTTTTTAAGCTTAAACATTCACTGTATATTTGGATTGCACCCTTATGTACTTCATCTTTATTTTTTATTTTTATTTTTTATGTACTTAGTAGAGGTCTATAGGATCTACAGGGTCTCATTACATAGATCAGACTCATAGTGATTCTCCTGTTTTCAGCCTCCCAAATGCTGGGAAGACAGGCACGAGCCACCACACCCAGTCTTAATCGCCATCTCAGCTCACCCCACCAGTGAGACAGGCGTGGCACAGCAGGGATCAAACCCTGGCCTCTAGACACTTTAGTCTGCTGAACTATCTCACTGGCCTATATTTCATCTTTAATTTCTACAGTGATTCCTTTTGGGAAGTCAAAGAACCCCATTTTCATTAAAAATACATATTTACACTGAGACAGTTTCAAAACAAGAGACAAGAAAAAATGTCATAGGACTGTCATGCTACAGTGCTGTATATGGTTAGATTTCTAAATTTCATTGTAAAAATATGTAATTTTTTATTCCCATTTTTAAAAATTTTTATCTTCACATTCTGTAGGGATTTAAAGTTTAACATATCAATACTTAATGGAAAATACCTGTTCTATGTTCTGTCAAAGATTTTTTATATTCAGACAGATAGGTTAAGCTCATTAAGCTTCTCTTCTGGAGTGTTAACAACTAAAGTTTGCAGATCAAAAATTACAGAAAAAGAAGAGCTACAAGAATAGCCAACATTTTGGCCCTAGACATTCAAGGTCAACTCAGGATATACAAGAACCTGTACTGTAACATACTATAACTCATTGGTGTCCCAAATTTTCTGATCAAGAAGATTATGGGGCCACAGAGGAAAGAGATCAACGATGCTATTTATACTGGTATGCATGCCTAAGGAAAAAAAAATCTATACAAAATGAATAATATTCTTAAAAATATTATTTAACCATCATAAGTAAATATTCCCTAAAGCTATTACTATCAACTTTTTCCACTTTATGACATCTATCCATAACTCTAAAAGACATGCTTTAGTTAGTAAACATTAAGTAGAAAAAAGTATCCTACTTAATAACAAGATACAAGGGCCTGCCAAATAGCTCAGCGGACTAAAGTGCCTGCTTAGGGAGAGCACAGCAGCTGGGGTTCTATCCCCAGCGTGCAATGCAGGTCCTGCCCCCAGGGCGTATTGAGATGGCAATTGACACTGGGCCTGGTGGCATGCGCCTGTAATCCCAGCACTTGGGAGGCTGAAAATAGGAGAA